AGAAGAAATCAACAAATATATTTATTAACGAAATAAACTGTTTGAAAGTCTGAGGTGCATATTCGAAGTTAAAAATTGAATTTTGGTGGAGTTGCAGGAAGGGTTGTCGGGTTAGGATGACAACCCTCAAAAATGGAATATGGGGAAATCAACGCTTTAATAAGTGTTTTGGGCTATGATGAGGCACATGGGCCTTTCAAAAACCTGAATTCCAAAGAATCATATAGCTCACTTGAAATTAGGCCATTCCTTCGAAGTACTGCACGGGTGCTTTTCGTTTGTGAGGCACACTCTAAGTTTGACAAGTAACAGGTTCAATTGTGCATAGGTAAAAAATATTTTTAATGATGTAATTTGACAAATTTATTTTTCACATTTAGAAAAGGTATTTATAAATTTCACAATATAAAATATGAAAAAAAATATACAAAGTTTGGAACTTTACTTGTTAGATTGCAATAGTTTAAAAATGTATATTAAATTTTACAATTAGAAATACTGTTTATAAATATACCATAATCTAAAAAGTTCTTCTAAAAGGTAGAATTTATGAAGTATAGTCTTTTCGGTTATACAATTTGGACAATACATTACAGATTATATGATTTGAAAATCTAGAATATTTTTCTTAATTTGAAATCTACGTTATCAAAATTACATAATATATAATATATTTTCAGATGAAAAATATATTTTGAATTATATAATGAAGAATATTCTACAAATTCTATAATCCAAAAATCTAAAGTATGACAATTTAAACTTTTGTAACTTTCCATGAAGATGCTGAAGAACGCACGGCTCACTTGAAATAAAGTGAAAGACCCTCTATTGTGTTATCCATTGGCATGAAAACAAGGTCCAAGTTTAACGATCCTACGCCACGGGCTTTGTCTAAAACCATCAAAAACCCATAGATGTTGTTCCCAACCGTCAGACCAATTAGAACCCACAAAAGGGACCAATCCCCGATTACGAGATTTCTTGTGATTAGACTCAGAAAAACTAATTCAAAGTTAATATTTCAATCGTAGTGAAATTGATAATAATAATAATTAAATAATATTGGAGAAATAAAATATAGTAATGCTAAAACCTAAAGTATCATATTTTATACTTAAAGTATACAGTCTTAAAAAAAATAAAGTATACATAGAAAACTAATCAAATATGCCATAATACTTAGGCTTATGTCTAAGTATTTTTTTAAAATATATATTACCGATTTTTTAATTATTGTTTTTGAAAAATTATTTTTTATTTATCCACTAAGAACTGGTTTTTAGATTGGTTTTAACTTTAAACTGGTTCAATGGTTCCAACAGGCGAGATTTAGAAAGAAAAAAAAGGTAAAAGAATGTTGTAAATACAAGGAATTTCAGAATGCTATTTTATAAAGAAAAAGTGAGAAGCAGAAAAGTCCTTTGATGATACTTAGTAGGGAAGTAAAGTTTGTGAGAATTAGTGTAGGATTTGATTGACGTGACAGATTAAAAAAATTTACTTCCAAATCCAATCTCATTTACCTCAAATTCCACTCAAACTAATCACAAAAAAATTTATTTTCACAATCCTCTCAAATCCCTTCAATTACTCTCCCTCAAATCCCCGTAGAGTTGAATTTAAATAGCAAATTACTATGAAACTCCATACTTTATACCTAAAAATTCTTCTTCTTTAAATGGGAAAATATTCCCTTCTCCAATTGGGAAATTACTATTATTAGAATAAAGTTTTCAACTTGTAATAGAAATCATGAAAGTGTAGTGAACATCAATTTTTATTTTAGTGTTACATATTTATGTTAAATAAAAAAATAATTTAAGTTATTATTCTTACTATGAATATTTATTTTTAATAGATTTTATTTGAACTGTTTTATGAATAACCTAATGAACCTTGGATGGAATTCTTTAAAACATCTATTTGGTATATTACAGTATTACGTGGGAGTTGGATTCTTATTCATATTCACTTTGAGAGGGAAACAGAAGTGAGAAGAGAACTTGAGTGCAGTGTTTGGCGAAAGAAAAGGTGGCTTAATTCTAAACCTTTTTTTCGCAATATATTACTTTTTCAACTTTTGTGGATTGAAGAATTCAACATGTTTTATTTTTCATAAACGAGACTCTTAACCTTTTCACTTTGGATTCCACTTTCACCTTTCAGAGAATTCGCACATTCAATTGCATTAGTAGCACAAATAAAATAGACTCCTAAGTTTCAAAGTCGCATTTTCAATAGAAAACTTCAAAAGGTTGTTAAAGGGAAAAAAAGAATAAATTTTTTTGTGCTGAAATCTGAAAAAAGAAAAACCGAATTTAACGGAAAAAATAAAGTAAATCCTGGAAAAAGAGTGCCAAACAAAAAAGCTGTTTGAGTCAAATATTAACTTCATTAGCTACTTTGTCTTTTAAAATTTTAAAATATTGTTGGTCAGTTTTTGGTAAACGTTAACTTTTTTTTTTCTGGTACATTTTGAGGTACAAAACAATCAAGAGTAAATTACACGTACCACTCGAGGTTTGAATAAACTAAACAGGGCCCTCTTCCAACTTTTTTATATCACAGAAAATTGCTTTATGTTAACAACATTAAAGTAAGTTTAAACAAAATAAAATTCTATTTTCTAGATCTGATTTAATTTCAAAACTCGTCTGGTAGGTGTATATTGGGATTTTACTTGTAAATACACCTAAATACAAGAAATATAGTAACAGTAATTAAGATGAAATATTTCTGTCGTAAGATAGGACCACAAATGAAGAAAACAAAATGTGTAACTACTTTGAAGAGAAAGTGTCTGACTGTGTGAACCAATATCAAAACGATGAGTGTAGCGAGGAATGAGAAATGTTGTACTCCAGTTCAACGAGTTGGTGCTTGTCGGCCAGACTTTTAACTAATGTTTTAAAGACAGAATATTAATATGTAAGACAACATCTATAGCCTCAACTCGATGCCATTTTTGCTAGAAAGAGGCTTCATTCATGTCTTGCCATGTGTCCTTTTTTATGTCAGGAAAAATGCTAACTTTAGCTTCAAGCAATGGATACGTTGTTTTTTTTCTTCCTTACAGACTCTGACATACCCCATTTCACCATTTGCTATAGCTTCTTACTGTGCGTGAGTTAAATGACAGTAAATTCTCATTACGTACACCATGTTGCTATATTCATTACTCACTTTATTGCACTTGACCAACGATCCTTCCCAATTATACTCATATCTGCTATGATTATTGTCACACAACTGCTACCAGTAATAAGAAAACCAACCATATCTTCCCATGCTTAATAACGTGGATCAACACTTTGGTCTTAATTCATGGTTGTAGGACCACCCCTAGTTATATAGGTTCATTGGAGCATGAGATTTCAACATGTCCTCATGGATTTTAATTCCAATATTCACTATGGTCTATGGCATTGCAATAATTCATTTATCACCATTTCCACTTTGATATAAATTCGCATATATTTCTGTCATCATTTCTACCATTTTTCCTGAATAATAATTCCTCCATCATCTTACCAAGCAACAATCCAAAACCATCATAATTACATTCTCCTACCTTTTCAAATTAGGCATGAACCACAAAATATGGATTGTAATAAACAGAAGAATCTGAAAAAAGAAAACAAAACCTTTGGACTGGATTTTCTGTCATTGGAGAGCGGAATAATAATAATAGTAAAAAAGTTGAGTTGTGTTTTAGGAAACGTTGCAATGCACCTCAACGTAGGGTTGTAAGTTTAAAAGGAAAATGTGTTAGGCTGCTATTTACTAAGTAAGTGAAAATTCTTTTTTCACCCATTTACTGATAAAATTCAATCTAAGAAAATGCAAAAGTGTCAAAAGAATTATTGATGAATTATTGAGTTTCGAAAGACCAAGAACACAGGATGATGCAAAAGGATGAGAATCCCAAATCAACGCAGTTCTCATTAACTTCAATCTGCAGCCGAAAGAACATGTAACATAAAATAATTCAAAGTCGGTAAAAAAGGCAGTTATCCGCCGTTGACAAAGCTACATATGCTTTACCAAATGAACTTATACAAATAAGAAAAAGCTTTATACCAGCACTACAATATAAAATATGTATTCAACCCAATCATATGAAGATGAGTCAATTACAAAACAAAACACTTCAGTATATGCGTACGATATACCTCAACAGGTCTTACATCACAGTAAAAGAAGTTGAAGATGCATTTAGTAATATATTTAACCAACAAAGAGGCAACTCTTATGAATGCGTCATGGTGAATGTCATGATGAACTTCAAAAGAACATATACTTGGAATAAGTCTGGTGTGGTTCTTTTGATTTTCATTGTCTTCGCGGCAGATCATTTGAAAGATAGAAACTAATATATCCTTGGAAATATTAGGACCAAAAACTTCATCATAAGATGCTAAAAGGACGAGAGAAAAAAATAGTAAAAAGGACGGTACTGCGTGGAGCATGAAATTGAATTATCACAATGCATTAGTGTTAGTCGTCCCAGCCAAAGTCATGAGAGGAAAAGTCATGTTAAAGAGTATCATGACCTCTGCAGAAAAAAAGAAGAAAGCCTAAATGTTACAAGCACAATGAGGAATGGTAATAAATAGGATAACAGTTAATCAGTGAAGAATGTAATGACGAGTTCTGTTTTTAAGCCAGGAAAGGAAATCCATTGATTGAAGAAGGTTAGCTAGTGTGAGATAAAGAGTACAGAAAATTGAAATAGTTGAGGAGACGATTAATGTGAAAAAAGTATATAATAGAATGGTTTAGTTAAAATGGATGGTGGAGGGGGAAGTTGGTGGTGATGATGTGGAGGGAAAGGAATAAAAAGTAATGTTATTTAATGAAAAAAAAGGAGTGATAAGTATACTAGGTATAGGGAGATGAATGGGAGAGACAGGTATATGAAATGAAGGAAATGTGAAGAAAACATAAAGAAAAAAACAAGAGAAAAGATTTATGGAGGAATTTGGATGAGATGGTGGAAACGGAAATGACTGGTCATCACTTCACCCAACAGACAGAAAGCAAAGCCAGCACAGCTGTTTTACTATTTTTGTTTTTCATATTAATTTTTCTTCCGTAAAGCGATGCCCCCAGAATCTTCACACAAATCTTTCACAGTTACTCACTGACTCACTCATTCATCAGCCGCAAACAACAAATAAATACCACCCTCTCCCACATCCATTCACAACACAAACCTAACATATGCTTCAAATTTCAAACTACCCAATTCTCAGTTGCCAAAAATGGTGCGTGTCAAAGAAGCTCATGTTGTCACACCGTCAGACCCCACACCCGACACTGTTCTTGCACTCTCAGCACTCGACTCTCAACTCTTCTTGCGCTTCACAATCGAGTATCTCCTTGTTTACAGGCCCGGCCAGGGCCTCGACCGCCCTTCAACCGCCACTCGTTTAAAAACCGCATTAGCTAAAGCCCTCGTTCCTTATTATCCATTTGCTGGAAGAGTCCGGCCCCATCCCCAGGGGCTGGGCCTCGAGGTCGTTTGTCGGGCCCAGGGCGCTGTCTTCATCGAAGCCTCTTCCGAACGCTACAGTGTCAATGATTTCCAAAAGGCCCCCAAAACAGTGGCCCAATGGAGAAAGCTCTTATCCCTCTACGTCACTGACGTCCTCAAAGGCTCGCCTATTCTCGTCGTCCAGCTCACCTGGCTCGCCGACGGAGGCGCCGCCGTCGGCGTCGGAATCAACCACTGCATCTGCGACGGCATCGGCAGCGCTGAGTTTCTGAATTATTTCTCCGATTTAGCCTCGGAGAAATGTCAGGGTCTGGGTCTCGGTGTGAGTGTGGATCCGAAGCCGAAACCGGTTTGGGATAGACATCTTCTGATTCCGGATAAGCGAGGCGAGGCGAATCCAGCGATGCATGCTGAGTTTTGTGGAGTTCCTGATTTGTGCGGGTTTATGAACCGTGTGACGAGCAGGCTGAAACCTACTTGCATTGTGTTGGACGAGAGACGCATCGAGGCGCTGAAGCGCGCGTGCGGAGGAGAGTCGTGCACGTCCTTCGAGGTAGTGGCCGCGCACGTGTGGAGGAGCTGGGCTCGGGCGTTAGGGTTTCCGAAGAACCAGACGCTGAAGCTTTTGTTCAGCGTGAACGTGCGGAAGCGCGTGAAGCCGGGTTTGCCGGAGGGGTACTATGGGAACGCGTTTGTGTTGGGGTGCGCGCAGAGCAGCGCGTGGGAGTTGGGGGAGAGAGGGGTGGCTCACGTGTGGAGTGCGGTGAAGCGTGCGAAAGAGAGGGTGGATAGCGAGCACGTGCGGAGGGTCGTTGAGTTGGTTTCCGAGTCAAGGGCGAGTCCTGACTCGGTGGGGGTGCTGATTCTGTCGCAGTGGTCGAGACTGGGTTTGGAGAGGGTTGAACTAGGAATGGGAAAGCCTCTGCATGTGGGACCCATTTGCTGCGATAGGTACTGTTTGTTTCTTCCGGTTACCGGTGAACGCCACAGCGTGAAGGTGATGGTGGCCGTCCCCAGCGCCGCCGTTGGCAATTTCCATCGCTTCCTCCGGGAATCCAATTCTTGACCCAACCACAACTTCCTGTGTTACGTTGACCTCTGTAATTATTATGTTTTACAAAAATAAATAAATTTCCACTTTTCCTTTCTAAATAAAATCTTTTATTAAAATGGTTAATAATTTAACTATTATTATATAATAACAAGACTTTGAGATTAAGGAATAATTTTATATATATTGTTTATGGGTCTCATCAATCAATCAGATGAGTGAATGAAAGATTGGCATAGTGTTACTATTTACGGTTATGGAATTAAAATTTATTTGATGCCATTCCCACTCTCTGATACTGATCCCTTAACTTTTGAGATTATGTTAGACTGTTTCACGATGAAGTCCCATAAAAATCTTTCACCCTTTATATGAATTCAACACAGCTTGACACCTGTGTAAAAGACAAACACACAAGATTAGGATTAACAACCTGATTCAAGGTTATCTCTATATTTCTATAAATAGAAGGGCGGATTTCCCCACTTAATATTAATTAATCTTTTCTTATTCAATTAACTAAACTTTTTCCTTTAATAGCATGCCACGTCTCTTCTCAGATTTTAATCTCACCGCTTTCTTTTTCTTAAATCTAATCTTTCCACTTTTATATTATTACAGTTAATCATCGCCACGTTTTATCAATATTAAATTTCGATATCATTATTTTCTTCCTCAAATAATTTAAAGTTTGAAAGGAATTTGGAAAAAATAATCAAAAGACTAAAAGCTCGAAATTTCAATAATTTTGAGGATTTTGTAGGGTGTGAAATTATGGGTTCGAAGATCGTGAAGTTTGATAGATGAATTTATAAAACTTATATGGTATTTTAAGTAATATGTTTTGACTAGAAGATGTATTAATAAAACTTTGAAAGAAAAGAAGAAGAATATAAGATTAGACAATATTTATTGATTTTTCCTTGTCAAACCATTGTAGACCTAGGTATGGGCAGTTGTTTATAATGTTTTTGCAATTATGAGAGCATGTCTAAGTAATATTAAACCAGCATGTATATATAAAATCACTTTTTCTGGCATCATCTAATGGAACGCACGATAGGAAGTAGAAGACAAAATGTTTGTCAAAAGAAAAACATCAGAGTGCATAAAATGATTTAGTGTTTATTTGTTCAGGAAATTTAGTATTATATGATTTTTTAAATATGTTCATGAAGAGGTATACTATAGAAACATCAATTTTTAATCGAGCTAGATATCAGTACTTTTAGTTCAATTTTTTAGTGTGTGTTAATTTTTATAAGATCTGATTTATTACTATTAAAATTTATTTTACCTTAAGTAAACAATTCAAAACATAACAAAAACCTGCTAGCTTTATTATTTAATCAAACAAGTAACGAGATTCAGTGATTTTTTTTCCTAAATACTTTTATTTTATTAAAACTGTCTTTTACTATTTTTTGCTTATTTTTAATTTAGTCTATTCTGCAAACGGAGTGGCTTTTTTACTATTAAAGTTTTCTATTTTCGTCTCATAATTTTTTATACTTAAAAAAATTTGAATCAAATTAAACTAAAATGAAAAATACTAAAAGACCAAATAACTTGACCTAAAAGTATTAAAAGTTGTGTAGACCTATTTATAATTTTATAATGAGAAGAACAAAAAAGTAACATGTATGATTAGTTGTTGTTCCTGCTGGTTTTGAGGGTATGTACATGGAATAATTAGTTAGCTGTTGTTTATAATAGTAAGTTAGTGTTAAAATGGTGGGTCCTATGAAATTATTATTATGATGTTGTTAAACATGTTTTATTTTAATTAGAGAGATGTCATTGTAATGATGTTGTCTGTAAGAAAAAATAATTAGCGTTTTAGTTTATAACTCACATCATATATATGAAAAGTTGTGTATGAAATTTTGCATTAAAAAGTGGATTATGTCGGTTTGGTTTTGAAGAAGATATGCATGACGTATGGTATAGAATTTTTTGAAAAATAAAAATCGAAAAAAGCATATTCGAAAACTTTAAACAGAAGTGGATGCATTGATATAAGAGGGTGGTATGCAGACAAATAGTACAGGTGGCGTCATTAATTAATGAACAATCTTGTTTATAAATTACACAAATCATTTGACTCTCTCCGTAATCATGTCTTCCATAGTTATGTAACTGCAACCACTGTTACAAAATATATTTATAATGACCATATGGGTACGGAAAATATATACTACATCTTTCTACAATTATTCTCTTTTTTTGCAAATCTTTTCTTCAATTCCATTTGATGTTACACTAAATAATCCTTTGGGTGCTTCAAGATAAGATTGGAAGGAATCTTCGACTAAAATAATATCAGCAAAAATTAAATGCCTACACCAACATTGTAAACTAACATATATATAATATGAAATTTTTTATATGAATAATAAGTCTGGTATTCGAGCTTGAACACTGCGACACGGGTACGTGGAAACATTGATAGTTGATAAAAAGACAGATCAGACTTCGTATAAGAAATGTGCTGATGATGTTTTCAAAATATGTTCAAACATGTGAAGCAAGCACTCGTATTCATTCAGGAACACAATTAAGGATGTCATAATGGAAAGGTCAAAAGCAGCTTATGACCTTGTTGACCTAGTAAGAATAATACGTTTTAAAAACTTCTATATACGTAGGTAAAAAAGTGATTATATAATGAATTTTAAATTCATGATTTTAATAATCTAAGTCAAAGATATTTAAGATTGTATTTGATTTTTTATTTTTATTTTTATTTGACTTTCTTATTTTTTATACTCTTTTAATAGTGTTATAAGATTTGGATTGAATTTTTATTTTAAATAATATGAATGTATTTGGAATTAAAAGACATAAGAAAGTTGTTTATATATTTTAAATAATGATTATAGTTTTTGTATAGTTTTGAAGTTTTGATGGGACGTAGTCGTGGTGGAAACTTAAAGAGTAGAGTGGTGGTATGGTATCTAAGGAAGTGAAAAGACAAGGGTGGAAATTGATAGATGAGAAGTGTGGATTGAAATGAAAGAAAGGTAATGGAATGGTGAGTACTATGAAATGTGGTGGATGGTGATTTGTCTCTTGTGACAGAATTCACAGTACAATATGAAAGACTTTGTTGTTGGTAGTGCAATATTAATGAGTGATGATGGTGCTATAGAGCCTACATTTTGTACATCAATGGACAATTGGGAGGGCAAGCACTTAGTTGCTTCTACTGCTATTCAAATGGAGGAAGGTTTTGTCTCAATAGTACAACATTATTAAATTTTTTACAAATTTTGAAGTCCCAGATGAATCTTTCTGTGCTGGGCCTGGAGGATGATGCATTTTACAATGATGTACGTTCTTCCTGCTCAAGATTTTGTGGGATTTTTGTGTATTTCCAAAATGGGACAAAATAATTGTTCCTCCAATTGAAAAACAACAAGAGGGGTTTCGTTAGAACTCAGAAGTGACCTGCTTGGATTCTAGCTGTAGGTGTAGAAGCAGGATGATCGATCAAATTATGCTTGTCTTCCCGCATTTGTCTTAATCTGAAATCCATCAACTGCTTAATCACAAGCCAAATAAACAAATGTACCAAAAAATGCAAAAGTAATGCAATTTGACTACATTTAATGTGTCCATTTTTACTATCATCCATGTAGCTTGTAAAAGATCCATGTTTCTCTTTAAAGACATATTATCATTGAATAAGAGTTTTAGAAGAACTTCAATAATGACTTGGCTACTTCCTATAATAGATATATAATGGAGAGCAGCAGTTTTGATTAGAATGTTTGATTAAAAACTATTTAGTAAAATAATGTTGCAAAACATTCATGTTAAAAATTATCAGTATGGAAAATACAGGAAAGAATGAAAAATAGTAGACATCTAAATTAAAGGATTAATAAATAACAAGGCTTTATTTGTGATTAGATATGTAATTTATCTTTTATTTTTAGGTAAGATTAGTTTATCTCTTACATAGCATTTTATCATTTTTATTTTACATAAACTAAAATAAAAATGAATAGAAAATTAGAAATAAAAAAATGAATAAATAGAAAACTGAAAATACAATACTAGTTCGGTCAAATTGGCGTGGTGGGGATAGCCTATTGTTCATGTTTTCTATTTACTGAAATTTTGAAATTGCTTTTTTTTTTGGTAGTATTATCTAATTGAGATTTGCATTTTTTTACCCCGTGGTGTTACAAATTTGCTTGATATTGTATTTTAATGTATTGATTTTGAATTTGTTATCGTAATAAACTAGTATATTGCTGGACTTTTGTAATTACACTTGCGTTTTTTTATTCCTTAAAATTAGGTGAATTAGCTCATGAATTAATTCACTTGTCAATAGGCAATTTAGTTAAATCAGATCAAATAGCATTTAGCTCACGAAAAAGTGAAAGAATGGTGCTGAAATCTAAAAATAAAATAAAATAAAGAAATCTAGTGGATAAAATCAAAGGGGTCCTAGAAAGGTGACAAATAAAAAGTTATTACGCTCAAATATATAAGATATCCTCTTCACAAACATATACCGTTCATTGCAGGTACATTGAGGAACAGAAGAATGAACATGGCCCGTTTAATACGATCGCAAAGTGGATGACCACAATTACAATAATGATATTCAAAAGCCCAATAACTTGGAACTATGCATAATGGATTCTCCACAGAAAGCAGAAAAAGAGATTGGGTGTGGCCTGAACACGTCAAAATCTAGAAGGGAAAGCGTACGTTTACAATATAAACGCGGTCTGCAATTACTGAAGTAGACAAATATACATTGCTTGAATTCATCTTAGTTTGATAATGTTGGTTACATCGACGTCATCCCAATAATAAAGGGGGAGATGAGTGGAAAAATAGAAGAAAGAAAAATGAGGGAAGTGACACGGATTATACAAACCTATCAACATATTACAACAAAGTCTTAAATAACCAAAAATGACAAAGGCTTAACTTCTGTTCAACCCTGTCATTTAGTAACCTAAATTATTATGAACTCAAATGGCAGCTGTGAACCATGATTCACGCAGCAGACATCTAAAATGGGTTAGTGGTTTATGATTCTACTAAATCTAGCTGAATGTGAGAACCTTCTACCCTG